TTCTGTCTGGGGTAGAGCGTGAGACTCTACATTTGTCACAAATTCTCAAGTGTTGTTGAAGAGGCTTAGTCCGCATCTCACTTGGTGTCACAAATTCTTGGTTGGCACCAGGAAATAATTTGACACATGCTTCCATAAAAATTAGGATATGGTTATTTGAATGACAGGTAACAATTGGTCCAAAATGGCATCACTCCTGCTAAAGCCCATGATACCAAATCTAGACTTAATACCTGACCTAACTGCTGTTTCAACCTTTCCCACTAACGTAACCTCAGTCAACCGATGTAAAATTTTCTGGTCAACATTGATGAGGTAATCTATTATGTTGGGGTCTCTCCATTAATCTCTCCTCCCCACTAAAGGAAGAGGCAATCAAGCATAATAAAAACCCTCACCACTCCTTTCTCTCCAAAAGATATTCTAGTCTAAAATTAATCCTTTTTTTTCTTTTGTTAATAACTCCCTTGACAACCCTTCTTCCTATAAAAAGTTTCCACATTTTACGACTCCTCAGAGCGCCATTCTAGTTACTAGATGAGATTCTGCCTGATTTGTGAATCCCTTAATAAAGCCAATTACATCTTCAAATTTACTCAGGAATGTGTTTGATGTGAAATACTAATTGGAAGAATTCATTTCTGATTATTTGGTTTGATAACTGCCCAATTTCCCAAAATGAATGGCACGCACTCATTTCCAGATGTTAAATGTCTAGTTCCCATCTTGGAAATCCTCTTAAAGAAGAGGAATTAGGTATCAGAATGTCACCAAAGAGAAAACTGTGCATTTAATCCTCTAATGATGTCCTCTTAACATAGTAATCCTAATTTTAGATTCATCCCCCTTTGGCCCCTTTCACAGCAATGGGATATGGGAATAAATATTTCTTGAAAAGTTAATAATTTTGTGAATTCAAAGATGGTTCATCACAATAAAAGTTCCAACTGGAAAAAAAAAAACTGGCTAAGTTGAGTTGCATTCTGAAAAGAGGATTTTGAAACCAACTCTTTGACAACCTTGAGAATGGTGTGCCATAGAAGGAAGATTCTTTTGAGAAGCTCTTTTATATTTTAGAATTTAATTTGAATTTCACTCCTTACTGTTGTGATCATGGGTGTTCCACAGCCCAGCTTAACATTTCCCTCAAATTTGCACAGGAATGCTAAAAATTGTTGTGCTGAAAAATGGTTCTGAGGATAAATAAGTTTGGAAAGCTCAAAGTAAGGGAGTTGAACCAGCCTCTTGACTCCAACTCTTCTGAGAGACTTAAGTATGTTAATGCATACTGGAATGCCCAAGAGGAGTCTATAGGACACAAGCTTCACAATCAGATTTGACCATGAGCCTTTCTTCTCAAGAATGATCTCTTGAGCTAAGGGTTTGGCAGATTCCACCTTGAGAAATACTGACCTTAGGGAGCTGAAAAAAAAGTTTGTTTTACTGACTTCAGATTAACAGAATATAGTAATCTCTCATCATCTGTAAAATGATGGAAATGGATGTAGGTACATGTATTGGGTGGGAGGTTTCTAGAAGTCTTAGTGGTTAGTAAAAACCCCTTTGGCAAGGTGGCAGTTTCAGACATTAGGGATTTAGAGGGAAAACATGCTAACAAAAATGATTAATACTTATTATTTAAGATATTAAATTTCCCCCAAAAAACTATATGTAGGTGTTCAAAATGTTTTCTGAGACAACTGATCAAATTTGCCCTTTCTGTACCTCAGCATTTTCATCTGTAAAATGGGAATAGTAATGTTCACCTCACATGGAGTTTGTAAGGACTAAAAGAGACAATGCATGGAAAAACACCAGTATAGGTGAGAAGCAAAAAGATGGTAGTTTTGTTCTCATTGCTGTTATGATTTTTTTAAGCATGTAAAGACTACATACTTTATTTTTTTATTTTTATTTTTAAATATATTTTTATTGATTTTTTTACAGAGAGGAAGAGAGAGGGATAAAGAGTTAGAAACATCAATGAGAGAGAATCATCGATCAGCTGCCTCTTGCACACCCCCTACTGGGGATGTGCCCGCAACTAAGGTACATGCCGTTGACTGGAATCAAACCGGGACCTTTCAGTCCGCAGGCTGACGCTCTATCCACTGAGCCAAACCGGTTCCGGCAAGACTACATACTTTAGAAAGACTACACACTAGTAGCTGCCCCATTAGTTCCTTGGAGCTTTTTGAAGTATCTGAGAGGTCCTGCAGTGCACAATTTTTGCAAACTTTTCCTTCTGAACTTTGCAATATGTATGTTTATTGTAACTCTCATCAATGTCTTTGTTCAATATATTTGAAGAAAAACTATATAATACAGAGTTAAACAGAAGAGAATTCTACCCATTTCCAAAATCTTTTTATACTAAAGACATAAAAGAGAATCAAGGTAACAAAGAGCAGCCAATTCCTCTTCCCCAGGCAGCTAAGTCTAGTTTTATTCCCACTACTTATATTTGGAAAAATTATTGAAAACTAGAGGCCTGGTGCATGAATTCATACATGGGTGGGGTTCCTCGGCCCAGGTGCAATCAGACTGATTGGGACCAGCCACAGCGGGAGGGTTGGAGGGTGAGAGTGGGAACACCCTGACCACAAGGGGGAAGCTCCTGCATTAAGTGTCTGCCCCCTGGTGGTCAGTGTGTCATCATAGTGACCATTCAGTCTACTGGTTGTAATGGTGACTTAGGCTTTTATATAGTATGCAGATGATAAATGAGTACTTTCAAGTAAGTATCTCTGGGTAATCTCAGGGTAATAAAGGGCCAGGGAGATGAGCTACTGACAACCTTAAGAGCTGAGACAATGGACAAACCTGGCTTTGAATTCTGGTTACGATACTTCCCAGCTCAGTGACCTTGGGCAACTTACTTAACCTTCTATGCCTTGGTCTCATGTGTATAATGGGGACAATATTAGCACCCATCTCATGTTTTTTTTTTTTTTTTTTTTTTTTTTTTTTTTTTTTTTTTTTTTTTGTGTGTGTGTGTGTGTGTGTGTGTGAGGATAAATGAGGTAATCATGCAATGCCCTTAGTAAGGGCTTAATAAAAGCATATTATTATTACCCAGAAATGGAAAAAGATACACTTGAGCAAAGTCAGGGAGGGAGAATCAATAATTAAAACAGAAGAGGGAATGCTAAAAAACTTTAAGCTCAAATAAACCTTCCTCCCTTCACAAATGAATTTACATTTTTTTTGTAAATCATTATGCCCAGTACCCTGTGAGGATTCAGGGTTAGAGTTTGAGAGATGTTATTAAATTGGCTGGTCTATGGCACTGGAGTGTGAATGACCCTTTCATCTGGCTCTTCACTATAGTCAAATCCCATACTACCTGACTAATTAATATACAAGAAACAGCTTGGTAGCTGCTGCCAAAGACAGAGAAAAAAACAAAACTGCCTGGTGAAACTCAACAACATCGACATAACTTCCCGAGAGAGAGTAAAAAATCATCCGAATTGTGATGAGGATGTAGGAGTGAGGAGGCTGACAGGGAGATTTGCAAGCAAATACAAGTTTCACTATTCCCAGAACTTAAACAAAAAGAAATAGAATAGAAATTCTAAGAATGCTTTGCATGTAGCTAGAGCAAGGAGGCAGTTTTACACACTCACGTATTCGCACACACGTGTGTGTGTGTGTGTGTGTGTGTGTGTGTATACACATGCATGTGTGCAAGGATCATGGTGGGTCCACTCCCAGTGTAGTGACTGCAGCAAGATAGCAGCAATAGACCAGTTACTGTGAGTCTACTTTGAATCAAACCCTGTATTTTCTTCTTTACTTTTCTTATCTCATAGGAATCTTACAGCCAAACTATGGGACAGCTGTCATTCCCATTGCCAGGATGAGAGAACAGATTTCTGAGGACGGGATTACTCATAGGAAAGGGATTTGATGAAAACTGTTCATTCAGTACTTTGAGAGGCAGAGTGAACGATGATGGATGGCCTTTTCTCGAGAAGCTTCGCTAGAGATAACTGATTGCATGGGCATCTCTGAGGAGGGAAGCATCTGCCCTCTTTATCCTAAATCTTCTGCCTTATCCACTTTCTCCCCTGTCACAGACTGGCAGAATTTTATTCTTTTCCATGAGCAGAGAAAGGTACCAGATTGGAAATCAACTATTTCAAAGGGAATTTTAGTTGAAAATTAGAATATCACACTCAGTTTCAATCAGCCACAACATTTATTGCCTATGAACATCATTGACATTTATTGCCAACTACTTACTGGCCTCTAACTATGTGCCTTTATCTTCATGTTAAATAATTCATGTATATATCATTTAGTCTTTAGAATTATCCTGTGGGGAGGGTACTACTTTTCTACCCATTTTTCAGATGAGGGAATGAAAGTGTGAGAGCAATAACTTGCTTAAGGTGAGACAGCTAATAAATAGCAAGATTGGGCTTAGAGATGAGTTCTGGGCATTTGACCACCAAACGATAAAGACTTTGCCATGATATCCAAAGTACCATATATGCAAGTGTGGGGATTAAACAAAAGTGTCAGTGATTGTTCCCTGTCTTCAAAGAGGTTTCAGGACTATTGAGAAGGCAAAATACACACAAATGGAAACAGTAATGCCTCACTGCAGTTCATCTTGGGGTTAAAGGGATATGAGAGAAGATTCATGAAGGGAGAGATTGCTGGAGCTGAGCTTGGCAGGATGAGCAGGGATAGATAAACACAGCAAAGCAGGTTGGTCTCAGGGTAACTGAACAGATAGTAGACTCCTGGGGTTAGAGCAGAGAGCAGAGTGTCATCAGATGAACCAAGTGGGTCCCCCATTTAGGAATTCTGAGGCCTTCAGCAAGTTATTTAATATTCCTATGCTTCAGTTTCCTCATCTGTGATAAGGGGAGAATACCTATTTCAGAGGGACAAGGAGGCAGTCACTATTTTCCCCTCTACCCACCTGATTACGTTCAACTTTCCAGTAGAGTTGCCCTTGCCTGCAAAGATGTTAGGAAGAGCCCTACCTGCTGCGAGAAGCCCTTCACCACACGCCTTTGCTTGAGGTTTGTCTCTCCGTCCAAGTTGGCGGTTTCCAGATGGCAGATCCCACTGGGGTCCGAAGAAAAGAGGAGGAGAATGTCGGCCGGGATGATCTCGTTACATCGCATCTGGATGAAGTCTCCCACACTCACATCCCTCCAGCGCTTCTGCACGTAGCTCTGCTCCTTCCTTGGGTGGGAGAAACACAGGGGTCAGCCTGAGTCTCAAGCTTCTCCAGAAACTTGATGAGTGAATGGAGGAAGGTCCTCCTTACACCAAAATATCTCCCAGGCAGCCTGTCACAAGACAGCTCTGTATTTGACCTTGCCCCTAGTGACTACTGCCAGAATTTCTCTAGAAAAGCTAAGCATGATCTCTCAAATTTCACCATACAAGATCCATTCTTATACTCATATAGAGCTTTCATGGACTGTTGGCTGTTGATTGGGGACTGTGGCCAGCTTTTGCTCCCTGCCAAGGAAAGGAGAAGATAACACTGTCATATGAGCATATACTTTGAATATATATCTTTTCCCCAGAATAACCAGTTATCACCATATAAAGCAGGGTTGCAAGGAACTGGGGTGTAGGAAAGACCATTTTTGAATACAGGAAGTGAGTGGCCATAGGAAAGGTGAAGATATAGGCCCATGTATGGGAAGATCTGAGTGGTTCTGAAATAGAGAACTCTGGGTCACCAGGGAATTAGGAAGATGGCATCAGGAACTTTGACTGGATAGAACTCATGTGACAATAGAATCAGAGAACTACAGAAATCTAAGGATATTATATATTTCCTTTCCCATCCAATTTATCAAGCTCAGATAATAGCAGTGGTAGCAATAATGGCAAATTTAGCATTTCTACAGTGGCAAGTACTGGTGTTAATTAATGCTTCACTTACTTGCATAATAATCCAGTGAAGTAGATACTATTATATCCATTGCACAAATGAGGAAATTGAGGGTCCAAGAAAAATTTCCCCAGGTCTTACCAAGACAGAGCTGGAACCTGAGCCTGGGTCCAACTTGACACCAAATCCCAGAGTTTTACTGCTTGGACAAGCCCATCTCCTCAAACACATGCCCTCATCTCCTCTCAGGAGGAAGGGCAGCCTCAGTTGGTCCACCGCCAGCAAAAGGACTTTCTATCCCCCAAGACAATGCCCTCCACTTCAATGAGCTCTCATTTTGCAGTCTTCCTCCATCTTCTACCATTTTAAAAATAACTTAAGGTGCTCATCATGTGTTCCATGAAGTCTTTTGGACATGTCAGGTTGAATTTAACTTCCCAAGGGCCCTCAATTTTTCTTTCAAGATCTGTCCTGCAGGTATGGGCTCTTTGGTCTCAGGTTGCATTTAGAAAGTCCCTCTTTAAATGTGGGAGTTGGAAACAAACCACTAATCCACAAGATCTTTTTAACTGAGCCCAGGTGATCTGGAGAGGCAGGTTCTCATTTGCTGTTTTTCTCTCCTGGCACTGAGCCCCTCGGGGCATGTTATTGCTCCTGTTTCTACTGGAATCTGGGCTGCCCTGGGCAGGACAAGTCTACTCTTCCAGAGAAAGAGGCATGACTGGAATTTCCCTTTTGACTTCACAAACATTCTGAGGAGGATAAGGGGTTTGACGGCTACCTCCCTTCATTGGGGGCCCTATGGAGAACCCCAGGCAAGCCTTCCTAGGACCCTATTTTCCTTGTCCTAAAAGACCCTCCCAGAGACTCTCTCAGTCCTCTGATGTGAATGTGCTTCCCTTTGGAAGTCCAAGGGGAGCTCTCATTAGAGTCTGGAACGCAATTGGGGCCTTCAGAACTGGAGAGCAAGCAGCCTTGCAACTTTCAAGCCCCTTAAGAGTTCTGGGGAAGTATCCATATGCTTAAGTCCACCCACTGACTTTGAGACCTCTTCTGAAGAGTGAGAGCAATGCACTTATAGCATTTCACTAAAAATTCTTTCTTTTAAAAAAAATTACTTTATTGATTAAGGTGTTACATATGTGTCCTTAGTCTAGGAGGCTAATGGGGAAATTAGAATAAAAATTCCTTTTAGGGAAAAGCATGCCAGGGGGTTTTAATCACTTTTAGTCCATCAGCTTCTTTTATGCCTCCTCTCTTCCCCACATCATGTTTCCCTCCTGCCATGAAGAATGGAGACAGTCACCTTAGATGTTTCTCAATGTCATTTCAGAAATACATGTATCTATTTATTGATGTATTTAGGGTGAATACTCCCCCATTGGGAGTTTCAGTGTTGCTGTCAAATAATCCATTTAGGGAAGGATTCAGGGAAATATTGGTATCTCTTCATATCAGTTCTGGGAGCACCTGTTAAATGTTCAAATATAAGGCTGCTTAAAGGAACTGGAATGGGTTTATAGGTAATGGAGTGATGGCTTTCACTATTTCCCTCCCACCCCCCTTTTGAAAGCATGCTTTAAGAAAGAAGGCTTAAATATTAACAGCAAAATTTCTCCAAGAAACAAAGACTTATCATTTGACTTTCTACCTTCTTCTCCACCTCCCGTCTTCACTATCTGTGTCCTAAGGGATGAAGGCTTTGGAGATGCTGGGGTAACCGTTGATTGCTACAATCTCAGCATTCCACCTGGCATTTGAGGTAGGATTTAAGGAGAACACTTTGACTCTGAGCTATCTCCTGATTGCCACCGCTTTCAGAGCACACTGATGCAGGTTTGCAAATGCTAGTTGGGAGTGCTGCATACATAGACTTATCAAAGGCAAGTCCAACACACCTCTACCAATTAACACTGGCTCTTATGCTTCTCCTTTCTTATAAAGAACTGACTGCTTATGGAATGTGGGTTATGAAGGTGATGAAAGATGGAAGGTTATGGAGATGAGATTGTGGTTTACATTTTTTAGAATGAAGAGTTACTTCTGAGACTTGGGCTGTAGTGTTGTTTTGTCACTTGCCACCATGATGACAGGTATCACAAGTCCCTGGAGCCACCTAAGAAGTTGTAAGTCAGACCAGTCTCTGTCTTCTTTTCATTATTCCTTGGATCCCAGGAAGGTTCACTGCGACACTGGTAACAATCGCCTCTGTCCTTTCTTTAGACATATGCCTCTCTCCTTTACGATGGCATGTGGTGGTGAAGAATTGTAGGCTTCCCTCCCCAAGCCGGGATGCCTATCTCCCAGCTGTGCTTCTCCAACAGAGGCATGCATACTTCCAGGCACACAGCCTGTCATGCATGTCTAGGAGCCACGAAGGTATGAAATTAATGATTGTGGGGTGTTATTCTTAAAAATGAATTTTTTTTGGTAGTAATATGGCTTAGTAATTTAGCTGTCTTATAGAATTATGTTTATATGAACTCAAATACTATGAAATCAGAGGAATTTTAGGGATAAAAAAGGGTGACATGAAGGACACTGCCTTCTTGCATCAGGCCACTCTGTGTTGTTCTCCTGATCCTCTGGGTCCACTTTGTATCTTCAACTGTCAGGAGCATGAACGTGGAAAAGGCAAGGATGCACAGCCCTTGAGGCTCTAGCCAGAGGACCTGATGACTGGCTGAGTCCAGCTGAGGCGGAAAAGCATGCTCCTGCATTGAGTGACAGCCAGATGCAGCCAGCTGCAGGCTGGCAGCCACCTGAGAAAGTCATTCCCTGGCTAAGCCAGCCTATTTGGAACAGCTGACCCAGGTGGACAGGCCCACCCCACCGCATCCCCCTCCGCTCAGTGAGTCTGCACCTGGGAACTGACTGCTATTTTAATTTCATGGACTGTTCACTGATGTTTAAAAATGAGACAAATCAACAATGTGGCTTGGGACAAAAGACTCCATCTGGCAGATTCTGCCTCCAGGAGAAATTAAGTGGCGTCATGTTAAATGGCTTTCTGAGAGGAGACAGGGCTTATTAAGAGGTAAATAAACAGCAAGAGAGATTTGTAACCAAACGGATGTCATGGGGAAGCAGATAAAAGGTACGGAGGGATGGGGGGAGAAGAGAATGCTTAAGGTTTCATTTATCAAATACGTGGGTTTTAGAAAAAAGGGTTTCAAGGAACTGGAGTTGAGGAAATTTATCAGGAGGATTACTTATCTGTGGGACTTTTAATTTAACACAGGATGATGCACTGACCTGGGCTATCCTCCAGGAAGCTTGAATGTCAAGCTCAGAATGGTCAGTGCTGCTACCCAGGGTAAAAGGAAATGTCAGAGAGAATGAGTGCAGGGCAGGGATTAAGAGCGGGCTTGAATCCCAGCTTCACCAACCTATGCCCTGTGTGATCTTGGGCAAGTTACTTAACCGTTTGGTGCCTCTTTTTTTTTTTTTTTTTCCCCCCAATTGAAGGTAACATATGCACTTGCCTCAGAAGGATGGGGGATGTGACACAGATAAAGTACTGAGCTCAGGGTTTTGTACTTAGTGCTCAAAAAATACAAGCTTCTGTTATGATGATAAGGAGGACAAATGGCTGTTAGTGTTCTGGCAAAGGCTAAGCACTATGAAGCCAGCCCCAGTGTGTTCTTCATGCTGTAGGGACAGCCATTTTATGCCTGTGATTACATTTTATGGCTTGGGCCCAAGCACACAATGTACAAACACAAGGGACTCTAAAATCCAAACCTTTTCTCTAAGCCAGAAAAGAGGGACCCAAACTCAGCAGATCGAAGACTTAAGATGCTGGCTACTGAGACAATCTCCCAGAAAAGGAGACCCTTAAAACCAAGCCTACCTCTTTAGCCCATTTGGCTCGGTGGATAGAGTGTCGGCCTGCAGACTGAAGGGTCCCAGGTTTGATTCTGGTCAAGGGCATGTGTACCTTGGTTGTGGGCACATCCCCAGTAGGGGGTGTGCAGGAGGCAACTGATTGATGTTTCTCTCTCATTGATATTTCTAACTTTATCTCCCTCCCTTCCTCTCTGTTAAAAAAAATCAAAACAAACAAACCAACCAACCAACCAACTAACCAACCTAGGGCTGCTTAGCAAGTCCTTTTGTGGTCCCTGACACACTGATTCTAAAGTTTCTGTGGAGAAGCAAAGAACCCAGGATAGTCAACACACTATTGAAGGAGAAGAACAAAGTTGGAGGACTGATTTCAAGACTTACTATAAAGCTATAGCAATCAAGACAGGGTGATATTGACAAAAGAATAGACAATGGCACAGATGAGAGAGCCAAGAAGCAAACACACATAAATACAGTCAGCTGCTCC